AAGCATTCTTACTTTACAGCATTTTTTCACACCTGCCTAAAACTTTCGCACAGTACTGTATATACAAAACAATGAACTGAAAGTTACAAACTATACATAGAGACAAAACCCACATCCAGTTTATATGTCACACAATATGGACCAAATTGGCCTTTTTTGGTACTGTTGCAACAGCCCAAAAAAACCCTTTAAAGACTATACTTCCTCTAACAAGATCACAATTAAATGTAATGCACAGAATTACACAGCTTCAACATTTGCATAGCTTTTCCCACTAGAGTCTCAATTTGGGGGAAGCCACCTGGAATTTAAAATGAATCATAAATGCAACTTTCATCTTACATCAGTATTTTATGAGCTTTCTCTCAAGTGAGACTATTCATAGTAGCAGCAGGTCTTTAATATACCATGAAAAAGAGAAGAGTGAGTGACAATTCAGTTGGGTATGCATTTTTAAGTAGGTGACAAGGCACCTCTTTAATTAATAGTGACAAGGTAGCTCTGTAAAGTTCTCTTTTTCACTCTCTTTTTAAAACCTGGGAAGTGACTTGGGATGAAAAAAACAACCTGATTTTCACATATCCAGCACCCTTATCCCAACTGGAGGGCGACTACCTCCTCTGAATTAAAGAGCCTTGCCTTACAATAGTAATAGAAGTCCTGTTTGTATTGCAGTTTTACTAACATATGCCCAATATATCTCAGCATTTATTTTAAGATTTCAATTTCTATGGCCTTGGTGTTGGGAATGACATGTACGTAACTTCAAACTACACTGAAAAGATTCCATAACTTTAGATGCTGGCACTGATCTTTGCAAGATAGGAAAAAGGCAAGGCTAGTAGCCAAGAAACTGGCTACTTAGGGATATGAAAGGCCATTTCATTCTCATTAAAAATTAAGTTGTTGCCTCTTACCCTTATTAACAGGGAGGCAGAATTATATGAACCCACTCACCAACACATTTTCTCTCCTTTTCCAATATTCCATCCCATCATTTTAAGGGCATCAGGACAGCTATAAGCAACTTAGGATAAGATTGCAATTTAATAAGAATTTTAAAATATTAGGCCACCTATGCTTAGGTTTTAGCTACTTTAAAATCTTCAAGAATCTTCAGAGGCGTCTTCAGAACATTTCCATGTGCCAGTTAAGGGATGTATTTTCCCACACAAGCTTCCTCGCTGACTAGGAATCAAAGACGTTCTGATCCAAGAGCAACATTTCCCTATCGTGTGAAAGTGACATGCAACAAAGCACCCACAACCTTGATAGTTATAGGCTCATTTGTCAAAGCTTGGAAGCTTATGGAAAATTCATTTAGCAATAAGTGTGGGGTTTTTTTTTTTTGGAAAACTCTGTAGAAGATACATCCAGGTCAGTGACAGAGAAAAGCAACTTTAGAAGGAGGATTCAGAGCAAAGGGAAAGGGTGCTATTGGTTTTCCATTAGCTGATTAGCAGCAGCACTTTGGAACGGTATGCATGAATGATTCACTGTATGCATGTGCATGCGCACGTGCACGCACACACGTACAGAGCCCCTGTGTTCTAACCTCCTTTCTCAGCTATCAGATTCTTGTTTTGCATATATCTCATGTGCCACAAAGTTCTACCTCTCATGCCATAGTTTTCAGAAGTGAGGAGAAGTCAGCCTCTAGGACTGGCTAGACATCTTCCTTTGAGCTACAGTTGATTTCTAGCACCTTATCTTATCTATCTCTGGTCTTACAATTTTCAAGTTTTACTTTTGGAACTGCAGTTTCACTTATAGCTAATGCAGTAATCCCTGAAGATAAAGAAGAAATCAAATATTGTTTCCTTCTGCAAATACGGTTTGCCTAACAGTGCAAACATGCTCTTGTGTAACTTCTATTTGTTTCAACTGTCGGTGGATTGAATCCAAACCTGGAACAACTGTTATCACAGTGCCTTCTTATACATTGAAAGAAGCTTCTGTAATACTAACCAAAGATTAGTCCCCAAGGACTCCACATAATCAAAGACTGTCATCCTGTTTCAAATTTTCATCTGAAAGCAAACCATCACCATCACCATTTACAAAATATACAGGCAGTCCTCACTTAACAGTGGTAATTGGGACTGGCAACTCTTGCCAAGCGATGCAGCTGCAAAGCATGATGTCATGTGACTGTATTGATTTATGACGGCAGTTCTGGTTGCCATCATTAAGCAAAACCTACATGGTTGTTTAACGCAATATCATGCGATCACCATTTGCGACCTCCTGCCAGCTTCTCCATTGACTTTGCTTGTTGGATGCTATCAATGAAGGTTGCAAATGGAGATCATGTGACTGTGTGATGCTGTGACATTGTAATTGTAAGCCAGCTGCCAAGCGCCTGAATTGCAATCGCATGACTATGGGGAGGCTGAGACGGCTGCAACTACGAGGACCCATTGTAAGTCCCCCTTGTTCAGCGCCATTGTAACTTTGAATGGTTGCTGAATGAGTGGTCGTTCAACAAGGACTACCTGTATAGGAAAAAAACTTCCATAATCCAGTTCAAAGACAGACTGAAAATGTGGAAGTAGAGCAGAAGAGAAATACAGTGCCTGTGATCTCATGCTATGCTTTAGTTTGGAATGCAAATTTCCATTTATTTTAAAAACCTTCTAATAATACTAAAATGTACTTGATAAGCATAATATTTAGACAAATATTTATGAAGTATGAAGATCTTGAGCATCCTGCCAGAGATTTCCCTTTTGCTTTCTATAAAAAAAAAAATACTCTACAATGTCATATAAAAACAATGAACAAAACCCTTTTGTTTCAAACTTTACTATTCATATACAAATGTTATTAGTTCATATTTCTTTAACCAAGCAAGAATTCCAGCTTGGTTTAAAGAAAATAAGAGAACGCAGAAACAATATTGCATTGATTTGAAAAGACCCTGAATTTAAGATTACCTCCTCCAAAGGGAAGAATTAGGTTGAAACAGTTTTGCCTCCATTACTGCATTGTAAGTTGCCTTCCTATTTAAAATATAATACTTCTGTTTAAATGTTTTTACATAAAATCATTAATCTTCCTTGTAGATACGGTATTTTCTCCCTCTCTTTTAATACCAGAACACAATCAATTATCAGATTCACCAATTCAAAGTGCAATATCAGATTATTCCAACAGTGCCTTGGAAAATTAAAACACTCCTGAGAAGAAATGTCTGGAGCAGTTAGGTATTTGCTATGCCCCTAACCCATAACTGGTAAAACCTCCCATCTTCACCACATAACTGGTTTCATCTTGCATGGGGTAGTTAAAAAGGTCAGAGATCCTGAGAGAATACCTTCTTTTTATATACCTTGCCTCTACTATTTAAGACTTTAAATGATTTTAATATGTGAGCTTGTGTTCCTGTATGCAACTGGAAGTCTCCAGTGCAAATCTTATTCAGAGCAGTGAATTTCCTAATGGCATCAGCAGCTCTTTCTTTTACCTTCATATTTCATTTAAGAGCACTAAGGCTCAGAAAATATTGACTCTCTTAATGTGTTTGTAAAGATTACCAAGGTAAAATATTTTAAATACTGTAATATACTATAAATAAGTATGGTCACATCTGAACAGTGACTCTCTCATGCTAGCTTAAACATGTATCATGGGGATTATTCAAGAGGCAAGATCAAGTAGGGAAAGGAAATAGCAGGGAATGTAAATATAAGCAACAAAGCATGGGCCAGTTGCAGCAAAAGTGTCGCAGATGCCAGCAGACCTGTGAACTTCATGGGATATTCCAACTCAGGCACGTGAGTACAGTAAAAAGGCCTTTCCTGTACATTTTTAATTATTCTCTGGTACTCTTCGGGAATGACACGTGAGCTACAGGATGCTGCTTTGGGCTTTAGAGCTACAGCTTCACTACTCAGTCTGAGAAACAGCTAGCTTTTTTTGCTTTTATATGATTTCTGGGTATTACTCAACTTGCTGAAGGAAATTCAGAAAGGCTATAATTTCAAACCCAATTTAAAGACAAAAACTCATCTAAGTTCCATTCTCCACAAGAAAAACTCCTCCAATCTCATCTTCTTCATTTCCCCTCCCTTCCCCATCCTCCTTCACTCTACATGCTTCTAGAAAGCTAATAGTCATCCATACTCACGAAATTGCAACATTGCTGCCATCTATTACTACGTATTTTAAGCGGGCTCTCCCCGGCTCGTTTTTCAGTTCCAGCTTGTACGGTGTTTTCAAAGACTCTAGAAATCTCTGAACCCCAGTGACTGAAGGATCTGCATGATGACAGTACAGCCCCCCTGTTTTCTTTTCTGGATAAGGAGTCCTTAATTGTAGAGGCAGTATGGTGTCTGCAAACTGCTTTGGTTTTTGGGAAGGGAATTGCTTGGTTCCAAGTTGCACAGGATTGCAGTTTTCCTGTTGGTCATGCTTCACAGATGATTGCTTGGGACACCCTCGAAGCACAGTTTCTTTCTGAATTGGTGGGTGTGTGCTCTCCCAGCCACCCCTTGCTACCAAGATCAGATCTTTGGGTTTCTTATCTTTGGTTGCCGTATGTGCATTACTACATGCGTTCATAAAACCATCACTTTCAACATCACTTGCGTGGGAATTACTACAATGTTCTGAACAATCTGAGCATATTTTGCTGATATCTTTATTCAATGAACTTTTGTTACCCAAAAGAGCAGTTCGGTTTTCAGTGTTTGACCCATGGATTTTGTCGTCAGTGATGCAGTGTGCTTGAGAAACAGAGACAATGTTTGCATTTTTTTGTGGCTCTAATTTACAGGCAAGATCTTGGTGGACACTGTTGCCAGAATTGCCTTTATTTTTCTCTACCCGTGTTTCGACATTCTGGGAGATAACTCTAAGCTTGTCTTCCTCTTCAACACCCATCTTGCTCTTTTTTTCAATTTCTTCTAGAACTAGTAGTGGTTCAGCCAACGGTCCATGCTCGGCAATCACCATTTCTACAATTTCCTGAGAGTAGCCCATGCTTTTGAAAAAGTTTACCAAAATCTTATATTCCATCTCCTCACTTATTTCATCACCATCTTTAGTATTAAGTAACTCATTTGTATCTGTGACCAAATCTATCAACACTACATCATCATGAGTTTTACATGACGCCTGCTTACATTCCTGATTGTTTTCGAAAGAAAATTGTTTCTTTGGAAGCCTCTCATCATCATCTGATGACCTCCTTTTACATGACTGCCTTTCTTTGGATGAAGATGCCTCCAGAGAAGTTAGACCATTTATAGGTAAAAAATGTCCTTCTGAAGTATCAGGAAAAACGGTATCCATTTGTTTCGCTAATTCAGAGACTGGCGTACCTGCATTGTTTCTTGCTTCCTCTTGACCTATTTTGCCATCACTGTTTATTACAGATGGTTTCTGAATCTGAATTGAGTATTTCAACATCCCATCAGAACGGCCAGGATCTACAATTCTGCTTTCTGTCCTGCAGCCCTCATGCTGTGCAAGACTAAGCAGTTCTTTCTTCAATGAGCTTGGTAGGATCAACAAGTCCATTGTATATTTATCCGCATGAGCTTCAACAAGATGTTTAAACTGTTTCTTCACTTCTGATTCCCTGACAGTCAACACGTTTATGTTGGTTTTGAAGAGGTTCACGAACTGCTGAATTTGGCTCCTGGCCATGACAACAGGCTCAGTACGGCCCTTAATATTGAGTGTCCCTATCTCCACTACAGTAATATCAGCAGATGTGCCCTGAATAAGGGAATTCAAGAAGAGGCTTTGGGCTCCTACAAAAATACAATGCATGTCTTTGGGATAATATTCCCTCTCTTCCAATTCGGGTTCACAGATTCCTTTAATATATTCCTACAAAAAGGAAAAAAAAAAGCATAAATTAGGGCAAATGACAGTTCAGCTCCTTAAATTTGTGCCTTATTAAAGCTACAACTCTAAACTCTGTCAACATGATTATTTATTATTGTTTTTATTGCTCTTTCTCCTGGAGGACCCCGGAGCAGATTGCAAGAAAATGGTACAGGTGAAAACAATCTTAATAAAACCATCATCCTTCATTTTTACAAAAGGGGTGGGGAGGAGAAGAATCCCTTAAATTAGGCTGTTGCCAAGTGTGAAACCTCTAGGAGAAATATAAGGAAAAACACTTCTACACAATGAGTCAATCGGATCTGGTATGCAAGTGTCTCATCACTGCACCTTGAAGCATAATTTTCCCTTTTTTGTTTGTGTTGTTCTACGCTGACCTTGTGTTGAACTCTAAGAACATGAAAGAGCTTTCTAGCTCTAATTACCTGACATTTACCTTCAGGTTCAGAGAAAATACTAAGAAATGCAGTACCATGATAATTTGTTTATGCCCTGAAGAGATCTTCTTATAGGAGTTGCAAATACATGAAGGCAAACCACACAAGGTGCTTAAACTGAGGTTACTCAGGAAGGTGTGTTTTTCACAGTTTAAAGAAGGAAAATGTATAATGTCTCCCCATCTCATTCAGGAGAATACCAGTGAAAATAGTTATTCTCTTTATTTTCTAGAAGGGCCTATCATTATAGGCCCACATCACCTGGAAATAATGGTAACATACAGGATCATCTGTAGCTTCCCTGCTGTCAAGTAACTCGTTTCACAATGACATGTTTGCTAAACCAAAGATGTCTGCAGAGGAATATTACACAGAAAAGTGGACAACTGCAGACAAGCTGTCTTCAGAAACCCATGTTACTTAAAGAATCCTTGTTACTCATATTTATTATTTTATTCATGGAACCCCCCCCTTAACAATTTTGTATTGTTAAGGGTTAGGACATGGGAGAGAATAACTCAAGATCTCAATCACCAATGAGCCTGCTTACCAGAGTAGATATCTGCATTTCAAGATAGCCTATTTTTAGATTCCCTGGGATGGTGAATTTCATGAGAATAATGACTTAACCAAGGGCATTTCCATTCATGAATGAAGCTATCACGCACATGCAATCTCCAGCAGACTCTCATCACCCAACACATTATCCACAACCTCTATCCCTAATATACTACAGCCTGCATTATTTTCAGTCAGCATGGCCTCTGCTGGCTAGAGATTATAAAGTTTTAGTCCAATATATGGGAAAGGTTGTCTCATACACAGAAAACTCGTATCAGAGAAAAAGACAGCCAAGAACTCTTCTTCTTCCAAGCCTTAAAGTAGACTGATAATATTCATAGTAGCACATTACTTCCTCCTTGTTCCACCTTTTCCTAGTTAGCACCTATGGAAGAAAAACCAAGTCAACCCAGGTTTACCAGCAGGTGATGATTCAGAGCGGAAAAACTATACAGGCACCAAGTAATAATGTATTTGAATAAACCCTTTATTGTTCTGGAGGGTAAAGGAATGTAAATTTTCTAGTATAGAACACTTCCTTCAAATATTAAGATCTTGAAATTTATTTATTAATTTATTTACAATGCATCTAATCCACCCCAATCCTTGAGGACGCTAGACAGCATACAACAAAATACAATATAGAGATGCACATTAATAAAACCCAAAAATTAAATATAGAGAATGAAAGGCTCCATGCAGGACCACAAGGGACCCAATGGCTTGCTGAAACAATATTGTACAACCTTGGCTTGTTTACAGGATATTAACAAGGTAGAGGCTGCATGTACCTCCAATAGGAAAGTTCCACAAAGTGGGGGCTGCCACGGAAAAAGCCTGTGTCTAGCCCATACCTATTGAACCTCAAGAGATGGGGTGAAGTAGGGACTTTAAAAGACCTTCTTCTGATGACCAGATCAGATGGGGAAATTCAGGGCATTACTTGTTTTACTAAACTTAAATGGAATTTAAAAGAGCCCATGACTTGTAGACAATCAACAGGCTTAAAAAATAATTAAAAAAAATATGATACCTAAGTGTCCATACTGAGAGGAGAGGCAGGAAATGTTGTGATACACAGAAAATGAATGTACTTACATCATTTAAGATCTTATTTTCAAAAGGAGGTAGCATGCAAGCTAGACAGCTTGCGATCCAGAAACATATATTCAAGGGTCTCTTTAGCCATTGGAACCAATGATACATTTTAAAAAAAATCTGGACCATGTGTTTTCAATTTCAGAGTAGCAGCATTTAGAAACTTGCTGAATCTCAACTTTAAACACCTGAAGCAGTTAAAATAACTTCATTCGTCAAAATATTCCTTTTTACTTATAGTCAAGATTTTCCCCCTCTACCACCCAGGAGCTGATCCTACTACTACATCCCTAAACCTGATTCAAGATCCTTTCAATCAAAAAAGCATTTTTATAGCTGAAACTTTATAAAACAACATTTGAAGACTGAAACTCCCAACATGCAATGGGTAAATGAAGAAGAGTTTTTCTTCACCCCTGAAACATCCATTTGCAAAAGAGCTGCTCGCTTATTGTTATGAAGTATTCCATGCTTTTCGCCTTTAAGCACAATTGTAATCATGGTAAGATCTCTTCACTGTCCAAAGAAACTTGCTACTGCAACTCTAAATAAGGTGCCTTTTTGGGTTTGCTTCTACTTAGGATACATTGCCGAATCCTAACCCAAGCCAAAATACCAAGGATTCTCTATGCATATCTCATTTTTACTCTTGTAGTATCTAAACCATTTCCTATGGGACAGGAAAGAATGACTTGCGTTTTTATGCAGGACAAAAGTCTGGTTCAGCTATCAGTAGTTTCTTCCCATCCATCTTATACCATTTTAATACAGCTGATAGTATTTCAGATTTTAGTAGTAAAGAATATGGAAATAGAGGAAACATACAGGAAAATGTCTTCAATGTACAAACAGCAGAAGCAGTTACACTGGTCTTAAGATTCTGAAAAATAAATCACTCTACTGGCTTCAAAAATAGCTACAGTTCTCACAACTCTATCCTGACTATAGTTTCCAAAGAAATTATCTTTTATATTTACAACTGAAGCAATACACATTGCAACATTCTGGTTTTACCCTGAAAATAGGAAAGAGTTCCTAGTTAAAATTGTGTAAGCAGTTGTGCTTACACAATTTTAACTAGGAACTCTTTCCTATTTTCATATTCATGTGGGCAACTGATTGATAACAAAAGTCTGATGTTTCTAATTTACTGTTTGCTTGCATTCTTATTCCTGTTTTCAGAATGCTACTGAGCAGGAAAGGTGAATATCTAGTTTGGCCAAGAAAAAAGGCTCATCTTTCTTACTGTCAACCATAAACCATTCATGAGACTATCTTTGAAGATGACACGTTCAGAAACTTTAACTGATTTGAAATATGGGATGACCTGTCCAAATGATTACAACGTGCTGATGTTAGAATGTTGTTTACAGGTTCCTAGTTTATTTCTAGTCACAAATCAAAGTACCGGCTTTCATGTGCAAAGCCACAGAAGGCCAGGAGACCTGAAGGAGAGTCTGGAATAATTCTGCCTTCAAACGTTAGGTTAGTGGCAACTAGGAGAAGGCCCCTTCCTTTATAATCTTATTTACAGAATACTAGATTGTACCACTTTGATCTGAACAAATCTCTTGCTCTACCTGCTGTTGATTCATCAATTGGGAAAAGCAAAATAGGAGCTGTCCAAGAAGTTACCTCTATCACCTCTTTATGTAACCTATTTCTGGAATCCCTGAAGGTTAAAAAAATGGGGCAAAAATCCCAGTTAAGGAAAGCCCTCTGCCCAAGCTTGCCTACGCTGTAGTATTCAGGGTATTTTATTTTCTCAGGCTTAAAATCTCATGTATGATTTATAGCCCTCTGGATATGGTTTAAATTTCAAAACCTGAACAAGATTTGGTGCAACTTACCTCTGATGCACTGATTTCATATTCTTCTAGTGGTTTTATGTTGAAATAGATGCAATTTTTTAGATACACTTAATTTCAATTTTTAATTTTAAAAAAGTGCTCCCAATAAGCTGTTTAGATATAGAATGTAAATAAGATTTTCCTATCAGATAAATCTTGCTTGGATGGCTACATCATTTTGTTGCCAGCCTTAATGATTTTACATTTTAAAAGGATTGGATATTTTATTTTTAATTGCTTTAAGTTACCTTAAGGGTTGAAAGTGGAAAGCCAATGCACACATATTTAAAGGTAACGTTTGAGAATGACTGGGAGTAGGGGTGCAAAATTTCCATCTTGAAATGCTCCAGTCCACTTGGAATGGACCAGACTAGACGACTCCTAGAACTCACAGAACAGCCTGACTTGGGGCATATGAGTTTGTTTCCACCTAATGTGTGAAAGACACTGTTCAAGATCCAACGTGCTTTTTTTGAAGATGTGGATGAAATCAGTTTTGTTCTGAACTCAAACCCAGCAAGCATCCAAAAAAGCACAGGTCTCTCAGATAGAGGATTTTGTACTGTAAAACAGATGTGAGAGTCATGGCTTTTCAGAAGAGCTGCATGTGCCTATAAATATTATTCCTAATTGTGCTCATTATCACCTTTCCTATTTCCCACATTCTAGTCCCAGTATTAGAGCAGCTTATACAGAAACAGAAGCACATTGTGGTGCAAAGCTCTTTCTGTATTTTTTGCCAGGGTGAGAGGAATTTCTCCAAGTTGAATGACCCTGCAGGTGCTTTATAATTATTATACATTCAAACTCTTAGACAATAATATTAGCAATGGAGCTAAAAGGCCTTCATAAAATGGATATGCTAACCTTCCTCCTCATTTTGACTTTTAAGAGGGACTCTGTGTGACAGAGCAAAATGCACCTGAGGCATTAAGAGTGCAAGTTCCAGTGTCTGGATGAATGAAACGACTATAGCACTTTGGATCTCAAATACTTAGGTTCACAGGAAAATTAGGTACCCACTGATTGTCAAATCATGATTATAAAGCATATGCTAGTGGGTCCCGCCTTCCTGCCTCTCTGCCTTCCAGTTGAGGATTTCACAATACATAAACTGCTTCTAAGAAGGTTCCATAAATAACTGGTAGGATTCTGGTCCTAATCTTGGAAATCAATGACATGGCCACAATTTACAACTTAGCCATACAAAGAGATACAACTAAGCAATACTTTCATGTCTGTAACCTTCTCCCCTTTTCATCTGTTATACTTAGAGATGGATATTTTCCTGCAAGGCATCCCAAGTACTTGTTCTCCAGTTTCCAGCTCAAGCCTTTTTCGCTCTGAACATTGTTTTAAAGAAATCTCCTCCCTCCATTATCTATACTCAAATATTTGTATGAAACAGGTATTCCAAAAAAGGAAACACCTTGAGTCCTAGATAAAGTACTGACATTCTCTTTATAATATTAACATTAAATACCAAAAAAATTATGGACCACATTGAGACCAATTTAACTGTCAAAAAA